TTTTTGGTGCGAAATTTCATCTGAGTATAAAATCTGCTAGTGGCTACCACATATTGTGTGTCTTTTTCGCGCCGTACTGGGAAGATTTCTTACAACAGTGAACACAACTACTTGTGGAGGCTATCGTTCCTTTTTTTCGAGGTACGGACATTCGTATTAAATATTCAGTTATTTGCAGTTCTCAAACTTCAATAATACCGCGTGAATTCGGTCCAGGCACCCTGATTTGGACGGAATGAATGTACTCGGAACTACTCAAGTCGGAAGTTAGCCGGAAACTGCCTTATTCTGACGGCAGATTGCTTACTTACACGTCTGGCTATCACGTGATCGGCATTTGACCAAGTAGCGATCGAACTTCTCCTGTGCTAGCTGCCGACAGCGACCCTCTCAAACCTGTTTGTCTGGATGTGACACCCATCAAGATAACAGTACCGCCACCGTCGTGGTAACGGACGCAATCTACTGTGATTGGACGTGGGGAGTTCACGTGTGAACATGCGTGGGTGCGATCTGTTATCAGTGCAGCGCCAATACCGGCCTTTGTAACTGCGGTTTGTGAAAAAGGGGTGCTGTTTCACGACGATTTCAGCCAACCAGATGCCTGGTTCATTCTTCATTCTGTCACGTGACCTACGGCCGTTGGTTCCAAAGAGATGTCCTACTTCACAGGATGTGATTCTAGTAAGCGCAGGTCAGTTTTCCGGCACCGTTTCCTGGTACTAGTCAGCGCCAAGCTTCGAATGGGGTGAGTTAACAATCGGATTGCAACGTTTTACTAAAACAGAATCATATACGTGTATGCTCACAGTTTATGCTGAATCAGCGTGTCCAAATGTAGCAGAAATTCATGAATGATTTGAAAAAGATCGTGTGAAAAGGGTTGATGCAGAGTCGGACCGAAAAATTGAACTTTACAACCGCTTCCCATACAGGTTCCAGCAGTGATGCCTGAGTGCACGGGTGTAAAGTACAGCAGTAGGTTCGCAACTCATCTGTTCGACTGACTTGTCACTGTGAAAGAGCTCTATGGAAAGATGAGCTGTTCTCATCGGTTAAAAAATTCCAACTTACCATAGCTCGGAGTAATGGGGCATTGAGTGGCCGAACAGAACAGGGCGGTTCAATGAATTGAAAAATACGATGTTACTGTGGTACAGAATACATAGTCGACCGGGATGTTTTCATCTTTCAGTGTTTGACACTACTAGTTAAAATACGGTAACTCATTTCCGTGGCTGTTGACTGCTCACCTTAGAGGCACGGTTTACCTTTCAGCATATTATTACTACTGCGTTCTATATAAGTAGTTAGAAAAACGGATAGAAATAGAAACCCCGGAGTGTAAGGTAGGTCTAACCGACGAGTTTCTCCCGTAAGCGCAAGTACAGTGACGTCTACATACCTCTATTATTAAAGAACAGATTAGCTATGCATTCTATCGGTATACCATTATCCATATAAACACGGGATGATCGTTTCAGACCGGTATTCACAGACATAGAACGGTCTGTGCTCTTTTGACCAAAGGGCCAAGTATCTTGGAAGCCTTACCTGAAGCACTACCTCGAAAGCATTCTTAGCCAGATACACACTGAGTTGCGAATTTCCATTTTATGTTTGACACTGCCCATCCTAGATTTTTCAATGGTCAGCAGAAAAAATCTCGGGGAGTTCGTCCCGAGCACCAAATAATTGTCAAAGCCGTATAAATGTAGTGGCCTGCTTGCGTTATTGTGTAAGTACAGTTTAAAGCGCTGAGAAAGCAGTTGGATGGGGCGCATAGTGGATTCCATCCATGTATATTAGCTTTTTTGGACAAACTTGCTGACTGGCGCCTTCTGGTGCACCTTAACTAATTTTGACATTTGACTACTCATGAGTAGGCAGATTAAATATGCGCCCCGCGCAAACAGTCCGTTGATGAATTCATATCAGTTTCTTCGTCATATTCATGCTGTGGGATGGCCTTTTCTTTGAAATTTTTTCGCTGGTGCATGCCACTAGGATATTCTGACATCATCCTAATGAAGATACAACATTACGAACATCGTTTTTTTATTTAAGAATTCAGCAATGCAGAGAAAGTACTTCCTACCTGTGCCCAAAGATCCACGAAAAAAATTTTTACCGCCTGAAAGTACGTTTACCAACAAGGTATTATTTCAGGAAGATACCATTGATGGTAATTCTCTTGTAAATCCCATTGCATACATGCAAACTAGCTCTCGACTGTTTTTTAGGAAAATATTCGCCCCCCTCCCCAACTGTTTCCAGTCCTTCCATTCAGCGCCAACACGATGGACAAGCAACATACCGCTCTAGCCGGAATTGTATCTAACCGCGTGCAAAGCTTTGTAAGACACAATTTACGTGCTCGTTCAGAATTCATCGAAGCGCATATTATTCGATTCTCGTACAGTCCACTCCAATTTTGTGACAATCAAACGAGGCGATGGTGATGATCCATCGATGTGCCTGCCCATAAATAAGCCTTTCCCGGCAACACTTGGCAAATTAGCCATCTTGATTCGGTGAAGGATGGTGGAGCTGGCGGATACAATTCGTTTCGTCGAGCGTTGAAGCGAAGATTGCCTGTGGGATAATACGCTTGACTGGATAAGCGTTTGAATGGTGCGAACATATGGAACATTACTGCAAATATTGTGAGCAAATGATTCGCGCAGATGGATTTTCTATTTTGTGACGAGTTGTGGTAGGAATTTCATTGCCTTGCCGAAAAAGTTGAAGAATTTATCGTCTCTTGCAATATCATCGTCTCATAAGGTGGTACTTTATTTCTGCATGCACACGTTTTGTAAGCTTAGCAGACCGGAACTGGTAAAATTGAGTTATTTTAAATCGTTCGTTTCATGGTGATAAGTATACTACACTTGGGTCCCTCTTAAATAAATTGAATTCCTGTGGAGGCGAATACTCATTTGCAACTTACGATGGTAGTAATGGGAGAAAGAACTGAATCCAAGACGGGTTATATTCTTCCTGATGTTCTTTACTTAAATATGATGCAAATAGGCTGTCTCATGGTTTTTATTCAAGATATCGAGGTATTTCTTCTCGTTTGGTTGAGGAAAATTCATGGACAATACACGATAGGGTAACCTCTTCTTGAGACCAGTCCTTTAGTTCTCATCAGCCCTATTTGATAACTAAAACAGCGAACGAAGCCTATGTCGAGATAAATGTCCACCTATGAATAACCATCACGTGTGGGTATGTTTGAAAGCGAATCATTACCTGTGTGCAAGTTCGAGTTTCACTTGATTCTTGAACGTCCACCCATGAATAACCATCACGTGGTGGGTATGTTGAAAGCGAATCATTACCTGTGTGCAAGTTCGAGTTTCACTTGATTCTTGCCTGCGTGTCTCATTTCAACATTAACCTGTCCAACCCAAAAAAACGTGATTAGGAGCAGAACTGAACTCGATTTCCTGTCTTACTCGGTTTCATTCCCCATCGTACGACATGCGCGGCAACCATGTGCTGGTCCTTCTAATGAAATGGTGAATAGTTCTTTCCCACTTGGGAGAACAACGGATTATGTTTCCGTGTTTGGTCATCAGACATTTACTAAACAGAACTAAAAGTGAAAAGTTGTCAGCAGTCTCGATTTGTATCTTGAAAACAAGTACGAATTGTTGGGAGCCAATCAGATTCTCGTACCCGTATGATTCACCCGGTCTGTGAGGACCAATTGCAATTAGGTGTATCCAAAAGGCGTCAGTGCGCACACCGGCTAACATTGCTGAGTCCAAAGCAGACCACATCTCTTAGAAAGGGATAAGGCATTGACAAAGTAGTTGTAATGCACCAGATGTGTGGAGGGTTGTTATTGGGAGTTGGCCTGTTCCAGATACGACAATAGAAACTGCAAGAAAGTACGCGCAACCAGTCTGAGAGACAGGACAACTGTTGGGAACAACTTGAGAAAATCTACACGAGCGGTGGAACAATTACAAGCAAACAATTGTAGAACCGAAATGTGAAACACCCACGAAACTTTGGAAAACGGGTGGCCCGGATGGGGATCGAACCCACGACATTCGCGTTATTAGCACGACNCAGGCAAACAATTGTAGAACCGAAATGTGAAACACCCACGAAACTTTGGAAAACGGGTGGCCCGGATGGGGATCGAACCCACGACATTCGCGTTATTAGCGCGACGCTCTAACCAACTGAGCTACCGGGCCTGCTGCACGGGTTGATTGGAAAACCTTTATTGTCTAAACAGTTTTATTCCACTGTCGCTTAATGCGCCAACGAATTCAACGATTCAAACCACGCCGATGATCAGAAGAGTTTCGAGTAAGCCCATTCTCGCCGAATAGCATGAAATGAACTGAGCTTTTCACACCACTGATCAGTCACGTGTGGCCGAGCTGCGTCGTGTTCAACCACTTACCAGAAGGTCCGAGAGTTTCATGAACTGTGCCTTGTTCCTGAGGACCATACGGGTACTTACACATACCCTAGCAGATATACGGCAACGATAATGGATCTTAAATGCTATCAGACGACTTCTCAGAGGATGCGAGGGAATTAAATCAAAGTCAGATCCCTTCCAGCTGAACGAGTAATCACAGACTTTCCAGCTGCCAGAGTGAAGTCAGAGTACTTCTTTGCACCAACCGGTCTTTACTACTCGAATTCGAGAGAACCGTATTAGAAGGAAGCACGTGTTCGCAAACACGTGCGACACATATAGAATTGGCATTTTTGCTGTCTCGTCGAATTTCCTCGGTTGTCAGTCGACGAGGAACCCCAAACGGGGAGCGTGGTGATTGGGTCACTAACTTTGTTGGAGTGCAAATAGAATTGAAACAGTTCTTGAAGACTCTGGATTCTGACGAGATGAAGAACGACATGCTGCGATGACTAATGCTAGCCGCAGAGGTGGCATCTGGAAGAGGATAATATGGTTGATTCGACGTGTTCTAAATTCAGTCTCTCGGGAGCAAGTGCTATCAGAGGGATCAGATGGAAGAGATACTGAGCGACCTCCCACAGGTCCCAGGGATAGAAGATCCTGATAATACTGACGTTCTGACCCCAAAAGTCAAGAGTACCATTCCTACTGATGAAAGCCCAGGTATACGGCGCCGATATACCTGACAGTGGAGGCGTCTTTTGGCGCCGCTGGTTGTGGCATTAGTGGACGGTTCTCGGAACATAGAAGTCGGTGAGCAACACACGTGCGGTCCCTGGTCGAAGTTGATTGTTGCCATACCTGTGTCGGATGGGTGCTTCAGGATAGTAACCAGATGTATACGGAAGATATTAATGCTAGAAGGGTCAGGTGAATCTTAGTTACCCGATCACCGCAGGGGACATGAAGGACCGTGATAAGTGTGGCTAAAGTCAACTGTGCCATTTTTGCCTCTTATAGCCGCTGGTGTCCGGTGCTGAGTGGGTAGCTAAGTAAAACCATCTCTAACCAACCCTCCCCTTGCTTGAACCCACTGTTTCCCGTGTCTCCCTCATGGATTCGATATTGACCCACAATCCCTCATGAACTTTTGACCCTTTTAACGTGCGCCTTTTGACTACTTGCGTTGTAGCGCACTTGAAACTTGACTGTTCCCGCTTACACATGTTTAAGATATGACCTTACGTGTGCACATCTGTCTCTCTTCCAATTACAGGTATCCCGGACGAAGGAATAGTCTGCTTGTACATCCGCCTGTGTGACCTTGACCTGTTATTCTGTATCTCATGTGACTTGCACCCGTAGCTCCGGTTTCGGTGTCGAACACACGTGTGTCTGCACCGCGGTTGGTCCACCTTTCTGTCCGTGCGTCGCGCTCGCCGTGCCTCCACGTGCCGCTGTTTCTGAGTTAACCCTGTGTATCCGTTACCTTCCAGCGTAGTGCGTCGACTCACCCGCGCTATCGCGTTACCACGTACTGTCACTAATTCACATCACAGAAGAGTTTGTCAAACAGTCGGCTGTTTTACACCTGAATACCGTTGTTGGGGAAAGCAAACCATTCCAAACGACTTCACATAGTATCGATCGTCACCGTTCCGACCGTTTGGGCCGAAAAATATACCCAACATGGCGAAGTGACTTCCTTTGGAAACCAATCTGGTAGCAACTGGAGACTCCGCTGAAGCTCGACTGAGTCTGTCGCTTATGATACCCTTCAATTGCTGCACGAAGGTGGCCTAATGTTTCCCTTGGTACGACATTCGAGATATCGTGAAACACACTGTTCTTCGACAGCCCACGATAGGTTTCGTCCTTCTTGAGGCTTATTACAATCTCATGAATTCAGCTAACCTTCTGTTCTTTCCCTGTCCGAAGTTGGTGATATACGCTTATTTGTGGACTAAGTTGATGCGTGCCATCGACCGCGAACTGATAACGTCTCCAAAACGTATGCAAGCTCGGCGAACAGGCTAACAGTCATGTGATCTACGACCAATGAATGACTGATAGCAACTCAGTTAGAATCGCTTGAAGAATAGATGCTAATTCAAGGCTGGCCAAAGTTCCTTAGTCGTGAAATTTCTCAGGTGAGGCTGAAGCGCTGTAATCTTGGCTTCAGATCTTGAGAAGACTTGACATTTAGTAGAGCGACCTGGTGAGCCACCATCCACAAAAACATGAAGTTTGAAGTATGAGGCTTACTTTTAAACGGTCACACAATACCAAGCGCAAGCAGGGTCACCTGTATCTGTGCAACTTGCGAGTACATCTGCCTGAACAGAACTGGACTGGTCGGCCACCAGCGTGATCGCTCTAAAGTACTCCTGGGGGGGGGTGAGAAGTACATTGCTTAGGTGAGTTACTTTCATGTCTAGTCAACATGTGCCAGGTGTAGGTTTATTCAGACCCGCCTGATCTCTCTGTCAGCCGTTAGAAACCGATCTCTTGCGAACCTTTGTACTGAAACTAACATTTTCAGACCCGCCTGATCTCTCTGTCAGCCGCTAGAAGCCGATCTCTTGAGCTTCTTTGCAGTGAAACTAACATGCAACCAGCAAGAATTCTCCCCTTTGACAGGTGTTTGCAAAAGGTGAAGATCAGGTGACCAAACTTCCGCAAACATGAAAGGTGTCTACGCAAATAAGATTGCCCGCGGGTGAAGAGTTTTCAGCAACTTCATGAGTAGTCTCTTTTGATGAAGACCCTTTATTCACGAAGAGATCCCGACAGAAGATTTTTTCCATTCACCCAAAGAATTCTTCCTTAAAAAGCCATATTCAGTTGTCAATATGTTTGATAAAGTCTGTAACTGGCGATAGAATTGGTGGATAACGAGAGAGAGAGAGAGATGGAGAGTACATGTGAAAAAAATGATACAGAAATGAGAAACCAAACTTGGCTGAAACTTTCGAATTCCATCATTCGTCTGTCGTCGCCTGTGACACTGCAAATGGGGGAACGGGAGACAAGGGATCAATATCAATAAACCTACCTTGAGAAGAATGCGAACGTGATGAAAAGAGAGTTTCTTCAATTTGAAAGATTGGTGAGGCATGGATTTCTAGACGAGTAGTGCTTATACTAGATTGGTGAAACCGAAAAGTGTGGATTACTGACAAGAACAACTTGTGAAAGTGTTAGGTTATCGCGACCATGTGGGAATTACCGGTGCTTTTTAGCACATACCTGTCAACTGCTCAAAACCTAATGATGATGGTACAACTTTGAAACGTGAGTTGTTTGTGCTCTCTTATGAGGTAGAGAAGGGGACCGTTATTTTGTGACAAGCAGAAACTGCCCTGGCGAGTGAAAACTGCTCGTTCGAGTGTACACCAAGCAAGTAACGGATCAGTGTTGATCAGACAAACCCGTCGGGGACACAAGTCTCTCAGAGTTCACATGGCAGATTAGATAATGTTAGGGTTTGTAGCAGTAAGTTCGACTTGTAATTGAAGCCTATTGATGTTGAGAAGTCAACTAGCACTTTACAGCTGTTTTTACCCTTACTGGGAATTGCCTCACGAAACTTCAGAATGAGTCGAACTCACAGCTTCCCGGTTAGTAGTTGAACTGCTCGGCCAAGAGCGGCTAAAAAGCACGGTTATTAACTTGCACTTATACAAGCTTGTCCCCCAGCCAGGGAATTTAAAACACTTGGCCGCATTTAGACTGACGACTTCTCAGATGAGAGGTTCATTTTTCCCGCGAATTATTTCTCCCTCCGACCTACTTATTGTTTGTTAGTAGTGTGAGGATTCTTGGAACTTTTCGAGGGGGTGTGGTGTCTTGTAAATGAAGCCAGTTCAATTTCCACATCTGCTTATTCCACTATTGATAGCTCGCTAGTGATATCTTTCCAACTCTTGACAGACAGATTGACCGGTACTCGAGATTCGGTAGGTAGATATCATTATAAGTGTCCGGAAAGATGTTGCTCACTAACCTTTCATGACCGACCCTGTTTCAATCTCATTCGGATTGGAATGGAGGTAGCGAGACATAAACGACTTGGCCATCAGCTGTAGTCCGTAGTAAAAATAACTCGCTTCTTGCGATAACTTTGGAATTGGCACTGTCTGAATGGAAGTGGCATCGCTTTCGGGGGTCGGTGTGAGTCCGTTTTCCGACTGACCAAATGAATTCGGCTCAAAATCGTTTCCTGTCTTCATAGAAGAAGTCGGGAGCGCGTCGTTTTCGACTTGTGTTTCGGATTGGTTGAGGCATTTTGAAGCGTTCTGTAGAACAACAAGAAGGGACTGAAAACTGTGCCAAACTATGGTAGGTTTCAAACTATCTGAAATCTTGGATTTCCTCTGGAGTTCCAGGAGGTGTGAAACAGAAATACCTGCTGAGGTCTGCATAGAAGGGGCAAGGGAGAGCGTTTTACTGCTGCGTACTAACTTTAATCCACTATTTCAGCTAACGCTCACATCCTACAAGCAAAGCAATAAAGGTGATGAGTCACGTGATAAGTCATGCCATTCACCAACTCAGTTTGCGGAAAGGATTCGAGCTCCAAGACATATGATGTTGTCTATTTGGGTACACTGTGTTGATAATGTCACACTTGCGAACTTCACATGTTGGATGCTATCGATCGGTCACTTTTATCTTGGTTGTGGACCAGCTGAATGAACAGGAGGATCGGTGACTCAAAAGTGACCAACATAAGCATTAAGTCTCCCGAATTCCTCGCTGCATTGCTCCAGATTACGGACTAAAACCAGCATCCTGGAAGGAGCTTGAACAAACAGTCAAGATTCTGGCTAACTTTCGGGAACGCTTGTACCTACAAACTCACAGATGTTCACGCCAAATAAAAGGATGCGATCACCGCGCGACACACTAAGACTAACACAAAGTTCCCACCACCACGTGTGGATGTCTCGGTCCCAAAACACTTTTGGGCTGCTTCAGTCGCACAAGTGTTTAATCTATGGATCTATTCCACAACCCGCCACAACTACCCAGATTCAGGTAGCACGCAAGTGGATTGCTCAGACCAGATTCAGTAGTATCTTCTGCTAAAGAGTCTGCCAATTCACGGTAAGCTCCCAACAAAAAGTGATTCTGATGTGCCGAAATCCTTACTACGGATAATGCTGTCTCCTTGCGCAACAAGAAAAACCTTGTAAGGAGCGTTGGTGAGTGATCAGAGAGTCACAGGATTTGAGTGGAGTTTACTGAGGGAGAAAGAGTTACTGGACCGTGCACACTGACTAGTGGAATAAAGCCAGTTACATGAGCCCAGTTGTGGACTACAGATTCGGCCACCACTGTGCGTGTAACACACGGAAATCGCACTATTTCGGTCAACCGAACGGTCCTGCGGCATGACATTGTCCTTGTGCCGAAGTAGATCCCTTAATCGCCTAGGTTTGAGAGGCGGAAAGACATTCCTTAGTCGGGTGTATGAGCTTCAACTGTTTGGAGGGTATTGCGCTCCCGGGGCCTGTATTGGGTGCTTTAAAAAGGTCTTTGTATCTCAGACTACCTGCCGCTTAGCGTATTCTTGTAACTGCTTCAGCTGTCTAGAAGAGAGTTCCACTTCCGGCGCCCATATTCCCTTTAAGTGAACAGATTCGACTCACAGAACACCAGTTGGCTGGGTGCGTAAGCTTGGTATCTCGCATGATTTAAACAACACAGCCTCCCTATTTGAACCTATGGCAAGCTGCGAATGAGTAACGTGCGTGATCAAAGGTAATATTCAAACTGGTCCAGAGAAAAAAAACGTTTTATACATGCAACCTGAGGATGATTACCTGAGACTCCTTTGGAAAGTAACTCTGGCTCTGCAAGCAAAGAAGCCTGTGATCCCCGAGTACATTGCCTGTTGAGGGGAGCACACTGTTTTGTGCATCAGCGCTTGTGTCTCTCCACCCCGCATCTAGCCGGTCACAGATCGGAGCGCGGTCAATTAATCAATGATATCCCGCGTGACTCCCACAAGTGACTTTGTGCACCAAAAATCCACGGATCACCAAAAAGAGCCATTTGTCTCCTGAATCACAACCCTATTCTATGGAACACAATGCGAAAATTAGACTAATACGTATCCCATCCAACCGCGTTCTGAGGATGTCTTATTGACTAGCCAAGCAAAGTTTGCAAACTAACTGCCGATTCCGGCGAACCGTCCAACTATCACCCGGACAACCAATAACATCTTTCTAACGTAATTTCCCACGTTCCTAAAGTTTGTTCCAGTGTGTCACCCCCAGTCAGTTTTAGCAAGCATTCCCTGTCCAGTAGGTTACACAATAACACATGTGAACACATATCGAAACCATTAAACCAGTGTTTTGACACGGGGTTACTCTCATACAGACTAGTACATCACGTGCAAAGTGTTGGTAAGACCTATGCGAGAACGGACTATCAAGAAGATCAGGTTCCTGAAAGCAACCACTGAATGTCCAGAATCTAATGAGACCCGCAGCCCCGCTAGATGCTGACCAGACAGGCAAAGCCCCCTCAATATGCAGCGCGTCACAGCCTTGTATCAAACCCAGACAGCATGAGTCAGCGTTGATCAAGGTCAGACAACACCCCCGCAATGTGCAGCGCTTCGCAGCCTCGTATCACAATCAGACCGCGTGCGTCAGCATTGGGCCAAGTTAGACAGTGTCCCTTCAATGACTAGCTTGAGACTGTTATATTTTGGCGCCCGTGCGCACTCACGCACTCGCTTGGTCGGAATATAGCTGTTGTGTTCCCCTCTGTGGGTCTTTTTTCCGGCATTAGGCACTGGAGCGGGTCAGCAGCAGATACCACGGATTGACGAATCAGCAGATGCAATACGGATAATATTTTGGTACGCGTTATGTTAACACTATTTTAGCCGAAACCCCTAATTTTCAACCATTTTGTCAGTGTAGTTTATGCGACCATTCAGCCTGCATGGGAATTGACCAATGTTTGCTGCATGAGTGTTGAGAGTGACTGGTGAACGATCATCACTCAACTAAAGACTGACTGAAATAATCAATACAACTTATTGATCAATGGACATTTAAACTTGCCGATTCTTATGGGCACGCTGAACTGTTAGGTTTGTCCGAAGGAAAACCATAGGGCGTTTACCACTGCTTGACTATTTTTGTTGGTTCCTCGACTCCCACAGTGGAATTAACTAGGAGAGCGTTTTTCTTTTTGTTGAAACACCGTTTCAGACGTGAAGAACACTTTATCTCAACGGCTCCATCAAACTTGCCACTAAGGCCAAACAGAAATGAGATATCTCTCCTAGCCTGGTTATATACTGCAGTTTAGGTGCCTGAGTCTCACTCGGTAGTTTACTGTTCTCTCCACAAATCAATAAACTCGTTGGAAGACCCTAACACCGTGATTTACTGCACAGCTTTCGTCCCTCTAAGGAGATCGCCAATGATTTTTCTCTACATTCAGTGGGTTTAATTCAGAAGTTTGCGGAAATTCGTAATTCTGAAACAAGGTTACTGACTGGTTCCTGAATGGACTATTCCGAACTGTTTTGCGAAGTCATACTTACGCTTTGTGAGTAGTTATAGGCGGCGCATTTTACCACTTTGAACATTCCAGTCAAAAAGTACTTTATAGCCGATTTACCCTTATTCTGCATCATGATTAGTATAACCCCCCCCCCGAGTTTGATCAATTTCACACACAGCTATCATATAAACCTCCGTTTACAAACCAACGCAAAACTGGAGAGATACTGTGCCAAAGTTTAATGGGGCTGCGTATACTATAACCAATTTAGTGTAAGAGAAAAGTGATAGAGTCTTGAGGGTAGACAGGCAAGTTGTTTGGGCAAGAATACGGATAAAGAGCATACCATTTGGGTGTAACATTTTGCTTGGCCTAATTGCAACTGAAGCGGCAGAAAACAGCTCATCACGATCGAAACGTGTTAAAGCGCTCAAGGTAGACAATGTTAAGAACGTCAGAGATCGACTGGAATATCCTTACAAGAGTCAGTTGTGAAACCAGAACTCCTCCCGTTACTACGCGGTCGGTGAATATCTATTTTGAAAAAATAGACATGCAGACACCAAGAAGTTGACAAGTCAAATAAATTTCTCAGTTGTTTTCTATTGTACAGCGGGTCTATCTGTATTTGAGCCATGTTGCACCGAAATTCTTGTTCGGCGCTGATCGGAACCAGCCACGGGAGTGTCTTCGAACGTATGATTCAGTGGTCACCAAGATCCATGTCTGGTTCGTTTTAAAATGATTTGTGCATTGTTCCCATTGTTGGTGACATCCGCATCAAACAAATTTTAATGAGATGGAAAAACGGGTATGTGTATTGGTATCAATCATTTGTAGATTTCTCTCACTTTGAGTCATGTGCTGACGTGTGACTGGTAATTCCGGATCAATAATTCTGGCTGGTTGATTCTGACCTCAGCGTTCTGATTGGTTGATCACTGTGGCACAGTCATTTGCGCGTTGGGCTTTGCCGATCGGCCGATTACCAATCGAAAATTGCCTGAGTGTACTACGCTAAGTTCATGCAATTTGGTTTCAAGTAGAACATAAGGTTGACGGAAACTCGGGGACTTCGCCTACCTAATGAGCCCGAACTAGAAGGGCGAAAACGGTCGTGGGCTGTCGGCGAATTTTCAGCAACCTTACAAGTAGTGCATTGCAAATACACCTGTCTTCTGTTCGTAAAAACCTGCAGACCAGTTTTTTATTGACCAAATGGCGTGCGTGCCATTGACAGTTAAGTATGAGTCTTTCTATGGACTATATTCCATCTTGTGAAGAGATTCTAGTACATGGGAGGATCCCACATACTAAAAGGTGCATTTGAACATCACCGAACAACCAACTCAAAGGCAAGAATCTGGGGTATCTATTTTGAAAATTCAGTCGTGGTTTGGCCACATGGTGCTTCCTTATTTGGGCATCATAGATGCTGAAACCGAACACTTGGAGTAGCCTTTGGCAATGGGAAAGTGCGCTCATTTGCCAGTTGGTTTTTTTAACGAACTGAATCTCTCGTGTATGCTATTTTTCAGCAGAATATGCCTTAAGTCTCCGCTTCTTCAACATTCAGCGTGTCGTAGAAATGTTTTCTTGAGAGAACGAACTACTCATAAGGTTGCTGAAGACCCTTTGATGGTGCCTACCCGGACTACTCCCGATATTTTCAACAACGTTATGATTGGTGTTATTCCAAAAAACTTGGACCAATTAGGCACCGTAGAAATAATCAATCCACCCCGGTTTACCATCGGCTTGATCGGATAAATGTCGCGGGTGACTGGCCTTCCGGATCGGGGTCTAGGCGTCGAATTTTGCAGACTCTGCAGCCTACTGCATTGTTTCCGATGTGTTTCCTCTGAGACTGTTCCAGGGCACTATTTCTTCTGGGCTATTCGTACTTTATAAGTAATCCGAAGATATTTCAAGCCAGCAGAGTGCCCGTAACCTGCCTTCCTATTAGTTTACTAGAAAGTGGTGCGTATGAAGACATATAAACTTACTGAACTTGACGAAGAAACTGAGTTGCGATGATGCACTCCAGAATGGGTTCCATTGGATCCAACCCAAACGTTTGTTGGTCTCAATAGGTCCATCGAGAGATTGCTTTGGACCAAACTAGGTAGTTTGCATTGTGGCTTGTTATCTGTCGATGATTTCTGTGGGTCTTTTGAGAATCCGTCGTAGAGGAACAAACTGACCGGATTGCCTATTGGTGGTTCGCTGACTTTCGTCGACTTTGCCTGGTTGTAAACTTCCAGAAGGTGTTGGAAAATGGTATCGAAATAAGATGGTACTTCTGCGGGGAAAATAAAATATCAACAACAAAATAGTGCCTGTCAATGGGTGATAAGATAAAAATCGAAGTTATTTCTGCTCAAGCATCATTCGAGAATTGATTTTCGTGAGCGTGAAATAAAAATCGACCGCGTCAACAGCATTGCAAGATCTTTTTCGTAACGTCTGTTTTGAACGGACAAGGAATCGAACATCGTGCCCTTCAGGCTTTGGATCTCTGACGAGCCACGTACTCAAAATTTTGTGGTAAGCAAGTCTGTTTTTCACCATGAAAACTAACAGACCTTGGATAACATCATCTTGAGCACTGGTACGATCCCAACCCGACTCTCGACGAAGAATTAGCAAGAATAATGAATTTTGAAGACAGAAGCTCAGTTCAATCAATCTGAGGTACTCGAAAATAGTTCACGCCAACACCTCCCCCTGTGTTTTAGTAAGCTAACGGTCAGGACGCGCCCAAACAGGAAAAAAACACGTGCACAGAGTGACGCATCCCCAAGGTCACCATCGGTTCGACACTTCCGGAAAGTAGGTGAGTTGGCGGCTCTCACCAAACATGGCTTAGCAACACACGACCAGCGTAGTGGGCCTGAGAGTGTTCACGACCGGAACACCACCATTGGCTGTACGGAACGAACAAGTGAACGACCATATTTGGCCAACTAGTCATCCTACATATTTACGCAGACGCTCTGTATGTTTTGTCCTGACAATACAGCCGTGTCCCCAGTTCTCTGTCTTCTCCCTATCGCGTAGTCTGGCAGGCTCAGGGCAGGCGTAACCAATAGACGGCCACCCACGATACAACACTAATCTGTTCAAAACTATCCGAAAATTTCAATTAAATCTTGATCACCATAAAGATTTCAGCCTGAAGTGAGAAAATGACGATATACCAACGGGTAATCGGCGGTTTCTCAAGGGGATTGGCGAAATCTAGATTCTGAAGCGTCAACAAAGTGTCAGAAAAACCCAATTGCTTCCAGAATGTTCCACAGACGTTCTCTGATAGCAAACGTTACTCGATGGCCGGTGTGCGGACGAAGAGTGTACTCGGTATGTGCGCCGGCCCCAGAATTGCGTGAGCAACCGGTTTTCCTCTACTGTATATTAAGAATCAATCTTTCCAATGAGCCGAAATTCAATATTTGTCCGTGCTGTAATTTACTGGCTTTTGATTGGCCAGCCCATCTTCAGAGACAGGTGAAGCACAGTACTCGTGAGCACCCACTCACTGTAAGTCGGGAAAAGCACTCAAGAGGGAGGTCGTTTTGAGGAAAGTTGAAAAAGTTTATCCACAATGTTTCATACAGATTTTCATAAAGGAAACTACTCACAAGGTTGCTGAAAACTCTTCGACAGCCCATGACCGGTTTCATCCTTCCAGTTCGGGCTCATCAGGTAGGCGCAGTCCCCGAGTTTCCATCAACCCGATGTTCTACTTGAACCCAAATTGAACTGTTTTCGAGAAATACACTCATTTGCAAAGCAATTTGGTTTTCAGGAGAGACTCCACTGAATCCCTCGTTTATGATATCCTACAGATTGTTTGGTTGCCCAAACAAGGGTTCGGGCATGACCGTCTTTATCGATATGGAGGCCATCTCCATGTTTATCGATCATTGTTAGTTGTTACCGCTGAAATGTTTGGGATTGGCTACAACGTACAAAGTGTTGACCTAACAATATCCATTCAACAGTGCTGTACTATGGAGCAACGTCAGCTCCTAAACGACTCTAGCAAACATGAGGAGTCCGGCGCAGTGAAACAGTTTCACTGTTAGCGAAAGCGTGATATTCTGTGAACTGACGAACAAAGGGCGGCGCGATCAAGACCCTTCGTCTATCCGAAGAACCACAATGCATAGGAACGTCCTTGTACGAGGATCACATCAGTCCAAAAGGGGAACAGCTCGTCAGGTACCCCTCCAATTATTGAGAGGTCAATGCTACAGCTATGAGTTTGTCCTTTGGAATGGAGGTGTGCAACAGATCGTGTCCAGTTTCTTCATCTTGCTAAATTCCGTTAGGGATAAAACTATCAGGACGTAAGTTAAAATGACACCAATTCAAGATACTCGTTCAGGCAACCAAGAATGGGACATGCAAAAACAGTTCAAATTGAGTTAGGTGGGCATGTGACACACACAGTGGATTGAGAACCGCTCATTTTTTAATCGATTTAGGCGAACTAGTCTCGGGTGGAATTGACTAGGTCGAAACAATCGATAGCTGCAATCAAAATCACTGTCACCTCGCTCAAAAGTTTATCTAGAATTTCAGGACAACCTTTGTTTCACCAGAAATTCATCTCCTTGTTCTTCTCATTCCGATCCTGTGTTACCATTCTTTCCGGTCAGATTTGACAATAAACTGGCAGCTACAACGTTTCCATCGTTCAGCCCTATCACTTTTTCAGTGCTACCCGAAGGAAGCATGAGGACTGACATTCTACCAGGTCGCCAAAGTCTAGACAGGTTCAATCGAGATGCAGTGGTTGGATTCGAACCAAGGACCTCCGATCTGTAAATTAAAGCTTCAACTACTGATTCTTCTTGATTCAACGACTTTCTTTTGGTGCGTAACACAGATGATCGTGAGATGTTCTTAATCAAATCGTTCGGATCAGCGAATAGTCGAATGAAGATTTTGTATTCAATGAGGAGGACCCCAAGGGCTTCAGACATTCCAAAGGCGTTGGTACTGTGAGCAGTCCAAAAGTTGATCTCTACAGCCAAGACTCTTGCGTTTGGCTGCTGTCTTCAAGAAATCCGACCAATCAGCAACCACCTGATGGCACTACGCCCTCACTGGGCTAAACAGGGGGCGACATGCATTTCCCTGATGATAGCTAAAAGCTCAAATAGTTTGGATTGTCAGAAAATTTCACCACTCAAAATCTTTACTATTGTACGGGTTCCCGTTCGAGCGCCTATTTTAGGTTATTAGAAGAACCAGCTCCGAATGTGATTGGACCACTCAACTACCAATGGAAAAACTGCTCTCGTTGGGACAGAGTTGATTGGCTGTTCTCCACTTGCCCTTGACAGATGAGTTGTATTCTTGGTATCACTTTTTTTGACCCGCTTGTACGTGTCAGTGTTCAATAGATCAGCTGATTCGCACGTTTATTGGCTTTCTGGTTCGGCTAAATGCATTAGGCTATCAAGCGGCTAATAAGACTCGAGTTCACGGAATTAAGCGGGTATTAGGGAAACTGCGGTTCACAACATGGTTGGACTTTGTGACTCACCTGTCGGTCGCTTACTGTCACTTCTCAAGAAAGTGCTTTGTGGTGAATGGCTGGCGTTCAGTCTTACTTGGTGCTCTGTCATCGAGCACCGTTTGAACAACATGGTTGGACTTTGTGACTCACCCAGATGTCGCTTACTGTCACTTCTCAAGAAAGTGCTTTGTGGTGAATGGCTGGCGTTCAGTCTTACTTGGTGCTCTGTCATCGAGCCCTCACCGTTTGAGTCAGGACTAGTTTCGCAGTTTGGGCCGTCCGTGGTGGACAGGATACACGTTTGGTTCGATGTAGAAGCTGGTATTCTCAAAGCAGAAGTATCAAGATGTTGGCCAGTAATTTCTTGTCCCATTTTGTCTCTTTCAATGAGATTTAACGCGGAAAATGGAAGAGTTGAATGGAGAGTTGATGATTCAAGACGGCTTCTTGGTGGATGAGGCAGACCAGAAGATCTGGCTTCAGTTTGCGATTGATTCACCAGGCCATGGGATGGAGTGCAAGGTGTGTTATCCCATTCTGACACAGAAAATGCACTAGAAATCGCATGACTCATCGCACTTGTTTTATTCGAGTCCCACCTGCCATTTTGACTTCCGGATCGACTGGAAGATTGTGGAATCTGATTCGGAATCGACCTTGATGTATCTGACAGTGGGAAATGATGAGAAGACAAAATGGGGACATGAATACTAGTGTGTGTGTGTGTATGACGCAGAATGATATGCATCAACTCACCAACGTGGCGCGCATACAAAGTGCACTCTGCACAGCTGGGCTCTCTTCCCCGAAAAACTAATAAAGTGATCCTTCCGAAGGAAGTATCGCGTGGTTTGTGTAGAGGATGACTTCTCTTCGAAGGATGGGTGATACACCCCGTACTGGCCTTCGTAAGACACTGATGTGAACTTTGCTTACGAAGACCTTTCTTTGACAAAACCTCCGTCTGGTTAGGCTGGTGTAGTTTATTCTGTCACACTTCCTACGCGTGACAGAATGCTGTGCCTACCACTAGAAAACTAGTCGGGGTAACGGACGCAATGTACTACTCATAAGTTACTGAAAAGACGCAATATACTACTCATAAGGTTACTGAAAATTCTTCGACAGCCAACGGTCGGTTTCATCCCTCTTAAGGCTCATCAGGTAGACGCAGTCCCCGAGTTTCCGTCAAACTTATGTTCTACTTGAACCCAAATTGCACGAAATGAGCGAAATATACTCATTTGCAAACAAATTTGGTTTTGCGAGAGACTCATCTAGAAACATCATAAACGAGAGATTCAGCTGGGTTCCAGGTCAGGTCTCTCGCAAAACCAAATTTGTTTGCAAACGTGTGTATTTCGCTAGTCTGGGTAATCTTCAAATAGAGAACATTGCAATGAAGGAACTGTTGAAGACTCTCCTGGAGAATGTTTGCTCCTCGACAGCAAATGTTGGCTGAAGAGGAACATCAGGGTGAACCCTCCAAAAAATAAACCGCTTTTCAGAGGGGACAATTATGATTACTACGACTGTGCACGAAATCTTTTCCAAAGAGGGTTGTCTCACCCCACCAACACATTTCTGAGGTAACCAGTTTCACAAGCACACCACTCGGAGTTTCCTATGGCTTCCATTCTCCTGGTGTCTCTGTTCAACGGACTGTTGCGCAGGGTGCAATGACCGTTATCAGGCTATCTTACCCTAAGAGTTCTATAATTGTATGTGCATGTATCGATCTAACTTCTGGTTTTTCTGTTTGGGTACTCACAAACGAATCGCAGTGTCACCAGCCGCTTTTTCGGATACTAAATGACGGAGGTTCATACGGATCCCCCGAAGAAGTCAGTTAAGAGATGCCCTTTTTCTTCTGTATTTCTTCTGTAAGTGGCAACTACTGAAAAAGGTTTTCCGTCACCAGGGAAGTTATCCGGGAAGAGAATAGCTGTTTCAGGATGACAGTGAAAGAGCCAACATCTATGATACTACTTACGAGTAGGTTGATGAAACCCAACTTTTTGGTGCATTACAAGACTTTGCGGGATACCATATCGAGGGTGAGACAATCCAAGTTCACCAAACTCCTTTTGAGTCCCTTAGACCCAAAAAACACCGTCCATAAACTAGCACGTACTGGGTTTTGGATGATGACGGCGATAACGAAAATGATGTTTCAGATCGCATCATGGATACACTAACCTATTGAAGCAGCACGCCCCTCCACAGGCGGCGGACGGTATCTCTCGAGTGTCTTTTGTTCCGCAGGCAGAGGTCGGGTTCGAACCACGGACTTTCCAGTCAATACATCTCCACTCTAACCATTGAGCCACCTCGCCCCACAATGAATCGTTCAGTTGTAACACCCTTCCGGTACCTAGACGCCATGCCACCCAAAGGAAGCGCACGGGCTGGGAAAATGCCAGTTGCCCAAGCCTAGACAAGGGGAGTCGAGAGACGCAGAGGTCGGTTTCGAACCAAGGACCTTCCGGTCAGTGAATTCGCCCTCTCACCACTTGAACCATCTCACTCCTAGGGTTGCTAGACGCTGAGGAATACGGCAGCTGTGTATGCAAAAAGTCGCTTTGTACAGAATATCACAGCAAAATTCGACTTACCCAGATTAGACGAACTAAGAAGGCCGCACTTGTTTACAAGCGACGTGAGGTCTGTGCTGCAAAAAGTACCGAGAAATTTGGACATTGCCTCCATATCGGTAAGGCTATCCATTCCCCCGTTTGGCAACTGACGAATATGCGATCCGGTATTAAAAGCATTCATACTTGGCTCCTCCGGTCCACCTGGAATTCCTCGTCCAAAGGTCGGTGTCATCATGGACGATGAACTGTTTTGTCCAAAGAGTGGATCTGCTCGACCGACAGCGTTGCACAAGGAGAACAGGGATGGCGGGATCAAGAGTGATCCTGGTGAATAGGTGGTGCATGGCCTTGTCCAGGGGGGGAATTTGTTTGGAAAGTCTACATCGTCGCCCAGACTCGTCCGAAGCATTTTCATCAAGGGCTCTCCACTACCAAAGTGTCCGTTGTTGGAGAGTGGTGTGGACAGATTGGGAGACGATAGAGAACATCCGGAGTTTGGAGGTGTGCTCACGTTGGCGATTCGTTTCGATGGTCTTCCAGGTCTAGCACTGTGGTACGAGTGAGGAAAGAACGACGGTTTTCAATGAATACTACCGTTTTGGGAAACTGAACACTAGTAAACTTGTGCTTTCGTTACCGATACGGTTTTCACTTGACCAGAAAATTTTACAGGCAATCCAGAGAAGTGGTACAGACTGTCCACTCACCAACTGGGTTACTGATCCCATGGAAATGTGGATGAGTTATTTCAGTAACCCCATAAGCCGATTTTGCTTCGAAGACGCTGGTTCACAGATGGCTACAACACAGTTCGCCTAATTCAAAAAAGAAGTTCTCGTTGCCATGGCAACGTCCGGTGTCAGTGACTGGTGGGTTTATTAATCTGATCATATCACAAATATGGAGGGCCTGAAAAGAGCTGATTTTCGTACGTCAGCTGAAGATACTACTTTCTGTTTGATTAGTAGGAACCCTGAACAAATGGAGTAAACATTTTAAAAGCTCATCTGGAGCTCTCTTGTCCTGAGAAAGAAAGCCATGACGGATTTTCACCACAGGATTCGTTCAAAGTTGGACAGCACGATTTCTGCCCATTCCACTCAAACAAATCTACTTCACCGGACTCCAGTTGTCTCACGAATGAGTTCTCTAGTTCCAATTTTTTTTGTGGAGTCTGGTTGTCCAATTCGGTAATTAGAAAACGAGCATAATTCAGAGTAACAAATGAGAAAAAATACTTGGAATCATGAGACCGGCGGCGTTTGGCCTAGTTTTTCTGGAACATTCCAGAACAGTGAGATGTTACGTTCTCCTGTCGCCACTCATGGATAAGACTATTCACCAGTCTTTGGGGTCTGAGAACGTCAAAAGAAAACGGACGTCTCCCTCTAGATCGAGAAATTCTATGTGGATGAATTAACGTCCTGTACACGGGTTTTTTCTTATGGACTAGTTCATGAAGAGTCTCACGGTTGGTCTCTAAAAATATACCTGAAAATACATATTACTATCGCAGAATGTCCATAAACTGGACAGCAAAGGTGGATACTAATGATGGCTGGCTTTACAACCGTCGAAAAATCTGACTCCTTAGTTCATCGAAATTCATTCTATTTCAGGTTAGTCTACCTTCTGCACTTCGGTATTCAGTCCATCGAACTATAGAAGGGGTGACCTTCAGTTCCGCTACTGATCCTCAGCTCCTCGTTAGACTTGGAGAGGGGCATAGTCGAACGACAATATGCTTATACAAGGAGCACATCGTCTCATTTTCCTGGGGGGAAAAAACGTATTTGAGCGATCATCCTGCATGGAGACTGCAAGGATACGATCAGGGATATTGTTCAAAACAGACTCCATCACCAATATAGCACACCAATAGGAGGTCATTTTCTATGAATCGAACGACGCCCCCTCTTTTAGTCAACTGAAAGTCAGTGGATGAAAGTTCACTAAATTGAAGGTTGACAGACCAATCGTAATTTCTACTGGAGGTTAGCTGCCCTTGCTAACCGAACATTAGTTCAGTTGGACAGATTAGTCACGTGCGGGCTACGGATTAAACCAAAGCATGACTGTCAGCTAGGGCCAGCCAATCAGGAGCGAGCATTGTGACTCGACGCTTCTCGCCTCTTCGCGAAGATTCTAACTCAACCTTGACGAGCGCTTTGGGATGACCCCATAAATACAGCTATATTAATTTTCCTTTGTCTCCAAAGAGAGCGGTTTCCAAAGAACGCTCCATCACCAATATAGCACACCAATAGGAGGTCATTTTCTATGAATCGAACGACGCCCCCTCTTTTAGTCAACTGAAAGTCAGTGGAAGAAAGTTCACTAAATTGAAGGTTGACAGACCAATCGTAATTTCTACTGGAGGTTAGCTGCCCTTGCTAACCGAACATTAGTTCAGTTGGACAGATTAGTCACGTGCGGGCTACGGATTAAACCAAAGCATGACTGTCAGCTAGGGCCAGCCAATCAGGAGCGAGCATTGTGACTCGACGCTTCTCGCCTCTTCGCGAAGATTCTAACTCAACCTTGACGAGCGCTTTGGGATGACCCCATAAATACAGCTATATTAATTTTCCTTTGTCTCCAAAGAGAGCGGTTTCACGCCAAAGAACGACATGGGAGTTGCATCCCCGTTTGCAGTACACGAAGAGTGGCAAACAAAGCGTCTCAGAATACATTGAAATTCGTAATTGACCGACGAAGGAGTGTATTAGACTGTCGCTGTTTTTATTTGAAGTGATATAAATGCTGTTCGTTGAGCGACAAAGCACCCTCGTTTTGTAACACAAGTCCTCAGTGTGAACTCGGACGGTCCTGAGTATCACTGTTTGGTCCTTCATACATGCCATTCGTAAATTCGATCACCTTCTCAAAGACAACTAGTCAAGCACCACGATCAAACTACTAAATTAATTTGTGAGAACAATCTGCAGTGCCTTACTGGAAACCCATCATAAAAATGTCACCGGAAAGACTCGTCTTCGCTAGTATTGTAAGTTTTTTGAGGAACGGACACTCGCTGAATCAGTTCCTTAGCTTCTTGGGAGAAACACAGTGGCGCTTTGAAACAAAGAGCGACTAAGAGGAAGCTCGCTTCTCTAGCTAGTCAGCACCAATAAATCTACCTGTACGTGTC